TGCAAAGGCAGACTCCGGAGAATACTCTGTACGAATTTCGCTGTTGATCTTCTCCTCTGATCCTATTTCCTAAGGGCCGGAATACTTGCTTCGAAGCCTGACCGTGTGCTGTCCACACCCGCCTTCATCGAGGTGCGTTATTTCGGGAGCGCCATGTTTGCTTGGTTGAAAAGTACATATATTAGCGGTGGAGTGAAGATCCAGCCGGCCTGAAAGCTATGCAGGCACTAAAAAAACTGTCTTATAGCGGCGCGCCGATGAACAAGCGTGTCGGCGACGCACTCGTGGCCAAGGGAGTCGCCCTGTGCTCGGTTTATGGCACGTAAGCCCGACCACGAGCTAGATACTAGGTGTTTTCAATGACATTGTCGCATCAGCATGGAGACAGGGCTGTTGACGTCGGTGTTCCCGTGCCACGCCGGCAAGGACTGGGAGTACTTCTTCGTGAGGAAGGAATTCAACCCTGTGCGGGTGCCCGAGGAGGACGGCTCGGGATTGTACACTCACACATACCTGGTTGACCCAACCTTCGCGACGTCCTATACGAACACGGAGATAAATGGGCGACCAGGATGCTCTATCAGCGATTTGTTGGAACATCATCCAGGAAACTCAGACCTGCACCGAATATATGGGAGGAAAGACGACCTCATCGCTTTCTCAACTGCAGCCAAGGTAAACAGTTCGCATCTTCCCGCCATATTTCTTACTGTTTATCAGATGAATCCCGTCCCCATTGGTTTGTGCGAGCCCACAATAGTACCGTTATAAAGTAACCGGGTTTCATTTTGGCAGAAGCTCAAATCAATAGAAACCCGCTCGTCGACGCAGCGTTGGTATTCGGGCACGGAAGACTGCACCCGGGGATGCTAATCCAACTGAAAGAAGAATTCCTGGCCGACTTGTTGGACGAGAAAAAGAAATCCAACATCGAAGATTCTCTTTGGTAGGAAATACATTATACCGACACTTTCTCTCCAGTCGTGGCTAAAATGAAAGTAAAGGGCTTCGGTCGCCGACGCAAACAAGACGGCACCTACCCACTTCCAGATTCTTAGGCAGGTCGGCGATTTTCCTGGTGTTTGACGAGTATATCGCTGAGAGGCTACAGATGGTTGTAATTGCTCATCCACGGAAGCCATTTGCGCTGACGAGCAAATTCCAACCAAGACGTCGCGTTGTTTTAGAAAGCTACGAGGAGGAAATTAGCGCCGCCTATATGTGAAGCCGTCCCGTTGTGAACGCGTGAACCCTTGCTACAGATGTCTGGAACACCTTGTTTTGTCGTTGAATTTATAGGGTTCGACCTGTACCAGCGACCACCACCAGCTGCAGCCCTTATGAGGCTAGGACTAATGGAGATTCCATCGAACCAGCCGCCGACACAATGCACATCCAGGATAATGTGTTAGGCCTTCTTCCGTTTCCTCAAGTCTAAGCTGTTGCAAGCGTGGACCATCCACAACTGAGGCTGTATGGTCATGGGGCTCAGAGTCTCTTTTGTTAAACTATCCGACACTGAAACTCGTCAGCTTCTTGGATGAATTGGCAAGGATAAGGATACCACACCTTACTAATTTGTGAGAAGTTGAGATCCAACGAGACTGAATGAACGCGTGCGAACGCGACACAAAGAAAAACCCAGGCCTGATTCGAACAGGCTCATTGGACCGCAAGCTTTGAGATAACATCACCAAATCCGTAAATTCCTGGCATGATCAGATTTGGAAGATCATGCCGGATGCCGTTGCCAAGGCATTGGATGCGGCCCACCTGGCGCGCCTTCGCCTTGGATGGCTGATACCTGGCCAGGTATTCCTATCCATACCCCTCACAAGCCTTGTCTTTGTTCGCAAGGCTGTCTTAGCTATCCAATGCTATGGATGGTCAACCAACCGCGTTCCCAGGCCCTTGCCGACAATGTGCCGTTCTGTGCCAAGTCTGTGCTACCGCTACCGCACGCCCCACACTCCAGGGAAATTTGAGCGTGTAGATTGGCACTTGTAGGAATTTTACGCGCAGTCCCCGAATTTCCGTAAGGAACCCCCGTGAACCAGAAGATCAAGATGTTTATTCGGAAGACGGTCAAACAAGTAAGAACAAAAAATCACAACGGTGGGTAGCCCTCGACTACTTCATCTGGAACAGTCCCGCGCCCATCCTCCGGCCCCAAATCGGGTGGCGGCGCGTCCGCGTCATCCTCAACGGGAGGTGCCGGCTCGTCAGCGGCGGGGCCATCCTCTTCCATCAGTAAAACTACACCTTTGTCTTTGGCAACTTTGATCTTTGAGACTCATCTTTGACGATCTTTGACTCTCAAATTCAAGATCTTTGGTTCAGATCTTTGAAGCAATCTTTGGCTTTCACGGGGCATCTTGGGTCTTTCGTTCGTGTCTTGTTTTGACGGACATTTTCTCGCCGACACATCCTAAATAAAACTGGAAGTGTAGCTTACTCAATGCACGATATCACACATTGTCGTACTTTGAGTTCATGAACCGTTTTCACGTCTTGGGAGCCAACTTCGGGACTGCGAAAAATCAAGGCAAAATGAGTATAAATTTAGAGATTTTAGACCACTCCTGCAGTCCCGGTTTACGCACACGCATTGATCAAGTTGTGCGCACACGGGGCAGCTCGGATTGCAGCGAGCGAAGGACGGAGCAAGGCAAAAAGTTTGAAGTCTTTCAAACTCCGAGTCCGATCATGATCGGAAAGATGTGTGTCACTTGGCAACGCCATCAATTGGTTGGTCGCTCTTTCCTTCTTCCCCCCATGTCCTCGCTTTCCCCCTCCTCGTATCAGTCCCATTCTCGCTGAAATCCACTGCAAGCCCTCTCAACCTTGTCAAGGCCTGTCACAAGCTTTGAAACAAAGCTCCGGCAGCGTCAAGAGTCTGCACCGTCAAGATTCTCTGCGCCGCCAAGAGTCAGCGCCGTCAAGACTCAAGACTTCCTGTTTGCGCCGTCAAGAGCCTTGGTGCCAATCAAGAGTGCCTGAACCTCAAGAATACCCTCTTCCGGTCCCCTACCCTCGCCCCAAAGCCCGTCCACTGTTATATACTCGCTTCCTCTATCACTTCAACGCTGTGCTCCGACATGCGCAGAGCGCGCAGCGTCTGGCGAGCACGTACTTGACTTTCACTTATAGCCTCCTTAACTTATCAGCTTTCCGAGGTCGTTCACGGACCGCGTCATCGCCGGTATCGCGTGCCAGGTGAGTTCCAATGCAATGACTGCGATCACATATTAATCTTTCATCAGGTGCGCTTCAATCTGTCGAGCATGCAGACGTGGAACAGACACGACGGCCATTTCAATTACGAAGAATTCTTCTGGCGCATCGTCGATCTATTCAAGAATGAGGAATTCGCGGCTCGAACCATCGCTTTGTACAATCGGTAAGTCTTCCTTTTCATCGCCGCGTATCGTCGGCTCACCATCCTTGATAGTGTTGTTCTCGGCAATGCGTCTGGTCTTGCGCCCGCTGCATCTGCTTCGACTGGCACCGCCCCCGCACTCACTCATCTGGAGCGCCTCCAGGCCGCTCGCGCAGCTCGCTCTCAGTAGGCTCATTACTCGTAGTCCTCCCGCATATGACCGCATATGAATATATTTTTTCTGCCGCTGCATTTCATTGTGTGAACCGCGAGGTGGATAGCAATATATAGTGCTGGCGTATCTACAGAGAACTGCTGTATCTCGAAAAGCTGGTGTATTCACGGAAAGCTGGGTCTACAATGTATGCTAACATGGATCCTACGGAAGGCCTTGGATGGTACGCAGGGCATACAAGGCTTTGGAAGGGCCCCAGGTCACCTGGCCAGGTGAACCTTCCAAACCGATATGGATCCGTTAGAAGGCCAGATGAAGCCTTGGGAGGTTTGCGTGCCTTGCGTGCCTTGTATGGCCATGTATGGCCATGGACTGTTCGCCCGCTTTTCGTGATGAATGCCAGTTGGACCATCCACCACCGGGCCCGTCGTGGATATACCACGTCCCAGAATCGGTTAGATGCAGAAATACAGGTACGCGCATAGCGATTGGCGTAGACCCTTTTTGTCGGGTTGTTTGAAGCTCCTTGGTTGAATTGCTAGAAGCAAGAAGAAGAAAAAACGCACACTTTCGTATGGCTCGAGCCCGAGTCGAACATGCCTCTCGCATACCTGCCGTTTCGGAACCTACAGTATATGTGTAGCCCCACCAACGAGCCGGTAGGGAGGGAGTTCTGTCGCTGAATTTACTAGAAGGTTGATATCAGTTCTTGGCTAGGACGAGACATAAACCATAGCTAACAGAAAACTATTAGGGCATGGCGAGCTGGAACAAAAATCACATTCACAGTACATATCGTCCATGGGCCCGAGCCCGAGTCGATCGGACGCATCTCGCGCGATTGCAGTGGGGAGCCTTCCACCACCGGGCTGATACTAGGCCGGCAGGTGTCCTAATAGATACTGCAAGCGAATTTTAGGGGCTCCGTTGAATCTAGTTCGAGTCGCAGGAACACAAAAACGACAGCCAGAGGGATGTATTGTCACTACCGACCCGGAATCGAATCACAGCGGAAGTGCAAATCGGTGTTGTGGACAGTTCTCAGTGGGTGGACCGTCCACGAGTTATGAGATTTTTTGTTGATTGACTCGAAAGAAAGTTCGTTGGTTGAAGATGACGCATCCAAAAAATTAACCACCGACATATGGCCCGGACCCGAATCGAACGGGCGTCTCTCGCAGAACTATATCGCTCGTTCCCTCTCATGTCTAAGCTATTGCAAGCGTGGACCATCCACGACCGAGCCTGTATGATTTGTGATTCTAAGCGACTCTGTTGTTCAACTATCCGATATCAATGTTGAAGCGCATCAGCTTCCTGGTTTTCGCAAGGACAAGGATACCGCACCTTAGTGGGCAGGATCCAACGGGTCTGAATGTACGAGTGGACTGTCCACCATCGCGAGTTCAACCCGAAGAGAAAAAAACACGGCTGCATAAATTCGTATGACCCGGGCCTGATTCGAACAGGCTCATCTGGCGAAACACGACAAGACCTTGCAGATAATGCCAGTGTGGACCATCCACTACCGAGCCCGTGTCAAGTACGCCTGTTCCTGAATTTGCCAGCGATTTTCGGATGAAGTATTTGCTTCAATTTTCAAGGCTCCCAGATCCATTGGTCATCGAGAAAAATTGCAAGACAGATCATGCCATGGACCCGCCGGTCCCCAGGCCAGTTCGGTTTCCATCTGAGCATAACAAGAATGCGGCGCAGTGAGCAAGCGATGAGAGCAAGAGGCAAGAGGCAACGGATCAAAGCCCTAGACTTCAATAAGCCCAAACAGCCCGCGTCGCCCTCCGGAGGTCAGTTTGCCGACACGCACATGTTTTTACATGCGCTCGTCTGATTCTCCCCATCTTGCTGCTTATTCTCCCCCACAACAACGACGACCTAGCTAATGGACAAGCCCACCTGGAACGACACTCTGCGCGCTGCCCTGGGCTCTTGCGTCCCGTGTCTCGCCTGCTCCTCCTCGTCCCATACGGGCGGCAACCCGGACTCGGACGACGAACACGACGAGACGGGCGTGCACGGTGTGCGTCGCGCACGGTCTGACGAGCTCGAGGGGCTTCTGCGTGACTCGTCCTCTGCGTCCGGCGACGAGGGCTGGCGGGACGACGATGCCGCTGCCGACGCCGACGCCATCTCGCTGCACTCGCATCTAGGTGCCCGGGGACGCCGTCGTCCGCCCCCGCGCACGCCACGCCACATTGCGCTCTGGGGATTCAACCTCTTCGGCGCTGGGAAGCGCGGCGTGGCGCTCGAGGGCGGGGACGAGGCTTTACATCCGTCTCGCTCTGCTGCTCGCACCTCAAATCCAAATGCCTCAGCTTCAACTCCAAATCCACATCCAAACCCAAATGCTAGTGCTTCTGATGCTACTGCGCCGACAAAGACCAAGCGCCGCGGCAGCACCGCGCGCACGAGCACCTCCGACCTCCTCGCGCGCGCCGCCCTCGAAGCGAGCCCCACGCCCCTGCAGGACGTCACGGAAGCCGACGTCGAGCGCCGCGCGCGCCGCAAGGCGCGCAAGGAGATGCGTCGTCTGGCTGCTGCGCTCGCCGCCGAGGCCGAGTCGCCCTCCCCTTCGCCGTCCCTCCCCGAAGACGGCGCGGTGTACGACGGTCTCCCTCACGGCGCGCACCCACACCCGCACCTGGCGTTCCACCCCGCGCCGAGCCCGACGGGGCACCGCGGGATCCCCTCCCCGTTCATGAATATGAACGTCTCCCCACCTCAAGGGCAGGCAGCGGCGGACGCGGACGCCTTAGCGCACCTGGCACAGCAGGACGACGAGGACGCCGCGGATCTCGACGGCATCTCCTACGCGCGCCTCGCCCCGCGCTCCAAGGGCGGGTCGCAATCTGCCTCGCGGTCGAGTGGGAGGTCGAGCGGGTCGGGCTCGGGCTCGTATGCGTATTCCTACACTCAGATGGGTGCGCCGCAGCAGTTGGAGGGGCTGCCGCCGCCGAAGCCGAAGAAGCGGAGCAAGAAATCGAAATCGAGCGCGACGAGCAGTACGCTCGCGTCGCTTTCCCCGCCCCCCTCTGCCTCCGCCTTCGCCTTGCGTGGGGAGAGGGAGCTGCCGCCGAGCCCGCCGTATCATCCCTCGGCGTACGTCCGGTCGTCGCCGTCGCCGTTGTCTGGTGCCCGTTCTTCGCCTTCCCCACTTTCCGCTGCGAAGGAGGACGAGTTTGGCGCGTTCGCGAGTGTGGGGGCTGGTGGGGAGGATGAGTTTGACGGGACGCCCGGTGGGCTGTCGTTCCCCCCGCCCAGTGTGGAGGAGGAGGAGTTCGGTGGTGTGCCGGGTGGGCTTGGGGTTGCGCTTCCGCCCTCGCCGGTGCCGGCGCCCGTGTCTCCTGGTGTCCCGTCGTCTCCCGATGTCAGCGTCCCCCCAGCAGAGGCGGACGCAGAAGACGCACAAGCGGAAGACGGGGAAGACGAAGCAGAGGAAGCCCCCGTCCCGCGCGAGGCGCTCCCCGCCCCGGGCCTCTCGAGGCGCGCGAGCAATGCGGGGTTTAGTGGAATGGGCGGATTTTAGGGCCGCGAGGGTCTATTCTCGAGCGAGGAGGGCTTTGCGGTGTGAGGGTGGAAGGTGTATCTATTCGACGTGGATATAGGATTGTTTCGACATACCCCGGACGAGGATGGATGGATGGAAGGACGGGACGATCTATGCTAGATCTACGACGGTCTTCGTTACTTTTTTACTTTACTTTATTGGTTAGTTCTGTTACTAGTTTGTTAGTTTACGCCTTACGCTTACAATGAGATGATTCAATGATATGATGCTGAGATGGAGGGACGGGGTTTTCTCGAGCTGCAGTGTTGCGTCGGCGAGGGTACGATACTCTAGCGTATCCGTGTGGGGAAGAGAAGGGTAGAAAAGCTCGGTGGTGGATGGTCCACCTTCGCATATTATCGCGGGCAAAAGAGTTACATGCGAGAGACGCCTGTTCGATTCGGGCCCGAGCTATTTGTGAGTTTCTTCATGTCTGCTCTTTTTAGGCCTCGATTCAAACCTGCTGGGCTCAGAAGATTTAAACGACTCTCTTAACACAGGTGAGTACTGATTATTGCGATAAAATGGGTCCGTCGACGTCCGTGTCCAAAAATTTGATATCATGTTCAAAGATGGAACACAGTAGGTACAGACTCGGTGGTGGATGGTCCACACTCGCATGAGTAACATGTGTGCGATTGCGATTGCGTCTGAGTTATGCGAGAGATGCTTGTTCGATTCGGGTCCGAGCCATATCACCAGAGCTCTCTTTTTGTCTCCAAAACCTGTCGTCCTTGAACTAGCCGTTACACATCGCGATTTGGGAGAGTATACTGTATGCAGCAGGCGAGCTGCGTGCGATGAAAATGGCCGTGGAAGTCAGCTGGAGGTTCAAAAATTGATATCATATTCAACGGTAGAACACACAGGGTATAGACTCGGTAGTGGATGGTCCACACTCGCATATGATGCCTGGTCTGGTTTTACGCCAGAGAACACCCGTTCGATTGGGCTCCGAGCCGCCTGCCTCTCCTAATGTCTTTCGCTTTTTGTCTCCAAAATTCAACATCATATTTGAAGCCGACGCCGACTCCGATTCACTGGGTTGAAAAACAGGATATTAACTGTGGCGTATAGGCTCCGTGGTGGATGGTCCACACTCGCGTGCTGTGGATACAAGCAAGTACACTAAATTCCGCGAGAGATTGCCCGTTCGATTCGCGTCCGAGCCACATGCTTTGTCAACGATTTCATTTTGGTCTCCAAAATTCAACATTATACTTGAAGCCGACTGCGATTCACTCGGTAAAAAACAAGATAAGTATGATACTGCATGTATATGGTCGTGGATTCAGATGCGAAACCAAAACCTGCACTCGGTGCCCACCATAGTTATGCCAGAGGAGCTTGTTCAACTCGCACCCGAGCCATGTTCCTCACCGGTACTTTCTGTGATAATCTGTGAGGTTCATTTTTTTTTTCGTTCCTCTAATTTGAAGGACCTGTCTCAAAAATTACAGATGGACACGATCGGCTCGATGGTCGCGAGCCGGCAGGCGCTCGTTTGACTCACGGGACCGTGTAATTATGTTTATGGCGCAAGCCGATTCAGTGGCTACGGAATAATCCGGTGATGTGGGTGAAATCGGATCATTTTACGAGTCTTAAAAATTTATTTTTAAACTCGTCTTTTTACACAGCATTGTCGCGCCAGTGGGTTCACTTTTTGCAAGTGACGTAGCACGTCGTGTGGGAGTTTCATTTCCTATTACGGTAATTTGGGTGAATTATTTCCTTTCTGGGCCACGTTTCTCGTAAATTACACTTCGTCATGCTCGCTTTCTCGTAAGCTGCTCTTCGTCCTTCAAGCAGTTATGTATTTTCCCGACTACGATTAATTTTCTAATTATTGTGCTTCAATTTAACCGGCTTCTCCCTCGTTATCTCGTTTGATTGTTGTGATGTTTAACTCCTTTTCCCCTTTTCTGGTTCAATTTATTGCTTCAGTGACCTCGTTCATTCCAAGTCCGAATTGTTCGTCCAGGTATATAACTCCACTTTCATTTGTCGTAGAAATCACGGATCACCTAAATTTGATGTGATCTTTTGATATCATCTCCTTCTTCTTTTCAGCGCCCATGAACCCTGTCCGTGTCAGAGTCATCGACGATTTTCTAGTACGTCTCCTGCCCTCTTATTGTCCCTTCGCTGATCTTTATATGAAGGGACCGTTTACCTTTGCCCCGGTTGAAGTCTGGACTTCAATCTTTCACCATGTACTCCCAGATCCGATGCTGGATTCAAGAATTCATGCTTCTGCTCGATTTGATTTATGCTCCGTCTGCAGGTGGTTTAGAGTGCGTTTTCCCTTTATTCTTTACTTGTTACCTTGTAATTGCATGTGTAACTCATTCTCTGGTTCGCAGACGTTGATCCGCTGCGATCCCTCCTTCTGGTGTCGTCTCAACATTGATACGCGCGTGTCCGTCCGTGGACTCCGCCTGTCGGTCTCACGCCTTCCGCGCAGTGTTGGAATTCACCTACGCTTTACCCTGCACCTCCTCGAAAATGAATATTCCCTCCCTACTGCCTTCATTTACGCTCGCATCGACGCTTTGCTAGCCGTTGTTACCCCTACGTCTGATCGCTGGGAGTCTTTCGTGCTCCGCACCTCCCACCCCGCCATATTTCGGCACATTCACTCTGTCTGTGTCAACATCCCTGCCCCTTCCATGCGACGCATCTCCATAGAGTACGAGGACGACATTTCCGAGCATTTCGACCCTACTTCCCACCCGGTGGAAAACTTCCACTTGAAACCTCACCGCTGGTTCTTGGGCACCGTCGGTGCGCTGCAGCACATCGGGTCTGTGTCGACCGCAATGGATTGGCGCAACATGGTTGTGCGTTCCAATTTGGTGTCGCTCACTCTATGCGCCCGAATCCGTAATCTGGATTGGGCCCTCTTTGAAACCCTGTTCGCCGAATCGCCTAATCTCACCACGTTGCGCCTCCGGGAAATTCCCGATT